AAGGGGAGAAGACAAGCGCATAATCCACAAGATTGATTGGTCATGGTTTTATAACTCGTATCTTATAAAATGCTTCCTTGGTTTTCATCATCAAATAATCCTACTGCTACATTTTTCGCAAGTAATAATGCTGAAGAGATTTAAAAAGGAGAAATGCCTGCGCGCTAGTAAGAAATACAGATTTAAAAGCAAATGGATTAAAATGGAACACAGCGCGTCAACAGGGGTCTCTAACTAGCGAGATGTATGACAGGATAGGAAAATATGACATTTAGCTTCAAGGGGCCCACCCCGGGCTTGCCTGCGTGTGAACAATTCATTTAAAACGTTGCCAATGTTAAGACTTTCGGGAGTCACACAGTTCTTTGATTATTCTCGCACTTCCATTTCCTACTGTACGACGGCTTAACAATTCGCTTGCGTTCAGTCATTTTTTTTCCAATGCTTTTTCGCACGTGTATGGAGTTTTTTTATTCGTTTTCTGAGAAAGGGAAAACTGGCGGAAGAGCAAGGTCTAAAGAAAAGTAAAATTCCTACGAGGACTTTGGTCCTAATGTTTCAAGCAAGCTAGGACATGTTCTCAGTTTTTTGACATGACGATGCGTCATACTCCCGGGCATTTGTTGGTTTATGCCTCCAGGGGTTGGAAATGTGTTGTGCAATCAATTTTAACCAGTTATTCACCAAACAGTGTTTTGGTATATAACCAGATTTTTTACTCTAAACATGAAAAGTGGAAAACTGTAGTTTAATTAAAAGCATATTTTAGTGAAACAATCGATCTTAACAAAACATCACCAATTTCCCGGAAATTAGTTGATCGATATCCGATATTGCTGAAAACATTTTCATGTGGCATGGTTCATGGTTTATATGGTCGGACGTTTTAAAGTGTGTTTGATATCTGAACGGGGTTTATGAAATAGGAGGATACCTGTGATATTTTTTTTGAGGTTATGAGAAATGCAATATCCATCGGTCTAAAGAAATTAAAAGAACAAAGGGTGATGAGAGAATTTCTTAACTCAACATGGAGGGGACCTATATTAAAAGGAAAAAGGAGAAAGAGATGAGGTACTGTAGTTGATAACAGTCAATCTGCATGCTATTGGATAAGTACTTATGTTTTGCACCACCAGGAAAGTCTGATTCACAGGCGTTTTCGTTTTTTTTTCATCGGCTTTCATAAAAATCGACATGATCATCCCGGTCGAACTGTTTCGTTACAAAATTTGAGGACAGCTTCTTGTTCTAAGTAATAACCACTTTAAAAGGTCTTTAAAAGCATATTTACACCCAATATAGAATTACAACACAATGACAACAGTTGTGACACTCCCAAGCACAACACTCAGCAAAATGAGGCTCGATGGCTTTGCATTAGTTCGTTTTGCAAGTTTTTAACTGAACTGCCTGTGATGCAGCTCAGTTTATAAAATGAGTTAAATTTCTTTCTCGGAGGGGGGGGGGGGGGGGGGGGGGGCCCCCCCCCCCCCCC